GAATGCTATAAATATGAAACGTCTTCTGCCAATAAAGAGTCAAACTGCCTAAAAGAAAAATAAAAGTTGGAAGTACAGGCTTAAATGGTAGAGAGCTAACCTGAGCAAGAAAGGTCAGGGACAGTGCCCAAGCCCTGAATACAAGATCTAGGACTCCTTTACCTCCCATAGACAAAGAATAATGTAGGTATGGTGGCTCACACCTGTTATCCTAGTTACTCAGGAGTTGGAGATTGGGAGGATCACTGTGAGGCTAGCAGACAAAAAGTTGAGACCCCATTTCAACAAACAGCTGGTTCAGGTGGTATGTATGCACATGCCATCTCAGGTAGGCAGGTGGATGAGATCAGAAAGCCAGCCAGTACAGAAAAGTTCCTCTCCAATTAACTGGCACAAAGCCAGGCTGGAGGTATGGCTCAAGAGGTTAGAGTATCAGCCAAGCAAGTAGTTCTGTGAGGCCGAGTTCAAATATCAGTACCAGAGGAAAAACAAAATCTAATTTTTCTCAAATGATATTTTATATCATTTGAGGAAACTGAGCCTTTTAACTTTGGTAAACTTTTAGACTAACCCTCAGAGGAAGAAACTGGTATTGAACAAGATGCACATTTTATTGGAGGTGGAGGACCTACTATGGTCCCTGTGATCTTGTGAGCTTGGAGGGCTGGGCAGCTTCATGTAACGGACAGAAAAGCTTTTCTTTCTTTTCATCATGTTGAGATGAACTCCTATATGCAGGCAAGGACTCTACTACCAAACTCCACCCCCACCCTCACCCATAAAGATGAAGAAGCTCAAAGAAGCAACTGAAACACCAAAGGTACTGAGCTGAAGTCAGCTGCCAATGCTCCAACAGGGTGGGACCGTAAGAGTCCTAAACAAGCCTGCCCACAAGCACTCAGGAAGTGAATATTAGCTCTGACCTTCACAGGGAGGGGCTAGCCCTTTCCCTCCTCAGAACACAGAATATGAAGCTGTTATCCAAATCAGGTTTCTACCAGAGCTGAGAACAAGCCTTTGGAATAGACAAAGAATGTCACTATTTGGTGTCAGAGACAAGCAGATCAATGGTCCTCAGACACTGCTGTGGGGCCAGAAAATATTGGGCTGTAGTATGGAACTTGTTCTTTTGATATTGTATGTATGTATGTATTTATTTATTTGTATGGGGTGGGGAGTGCTCTGGGTTTTGAACTCAGGACCTGGGTGCTGTCCCTTAGCTCTTTTGTTAAGATGTGACTCAAGTTGTAAAGCCACACAGACCTTCACTTATAGCTTTTGCATCTTTAATTGGAGACAAGAGTCTCACAGACTTTCTTGCTCAGGTTGGCTTTGAACTAAAATCCTCAGACCCCAGCCTCCTGAGTAGCTAGTCAGACCCCAGCCTCCTGAGTAGCTAGGATTACAGACATGTGCCACTAGCATCAGGCTGTTCTTTCCATTTTTACAGAGACTCACAGCTAAGAGATGCCTCAATTTTAAGAGGAGACATCAGAACCAGGCTCTCAAGCAATGCTGAAACTCTGAAGCCACTTGGAGATGGACTGAAGGCATTGTCCCTTGTCAGATGGACCCTGGGGAGGGGCAGCATGCTATAGTTGGATCTTGAAAGTCCTCCAAATGCCTACGTGTTCAAGGCTTGGTCCCCAGCTGTGCTGCAATCCGGAAGTAGTAAACCCTTCAGGAGAACATCCAGCCTGAAGGCCCTATATAATAGCCCTTAAAATCATTAGCTCTGTAACAGGCCAGGCATGCTTGCTTCTCCTGTGTTTCTGATCAGCTGCCACAGCCATCTCCCTGTATTAAGCATTTTCTATGGCCCTTTTACTTTGCACTTTGTTTTTGAGATAGAAACTCACTCACTCTGCTTGGGCTGATCTCCAGTGATCCTTCTTCCTCATCTCCTAAGTAGCAGGAATTACAGGTAAATGCCACCACACTCAGCCTAAATATTTTATTTACTTATGAGCTTTGCTTCTAACATTTTTATATGTGTATATGCATGTGTGCCAGTCCTGGAACTTGAACTCAGGGCCTAGGAGTGGTCCCTTAGCTCTTATATTCAAGGCTGGTGGCTCTACCACTTGAGCCATATTTCTACTTCTGCTTTTTTGGTGGTTGATTGGAGATAACAGTCTCATGGACTTTCCTGACCAGGCTGACTTTGAACCACAGTCCTCCTCATCTTAGCCTCCCAAGTAGCCAGGATTATAGTTGTGCGATGTTGGTGCCTAGCTGCTTCTATAATTTTCAGTGAGTTTGAACTAGAGGTTTTACATATATTCTAGAAAAGCCATTTAGCTACACAGGAAATGCTGGTAAGTTTCCCATGGTTTTCTCTCAGCAGTGGTTAAGATAACAATACTGTTTTAATGTTTTTTTTAGCTAGAATTGCACTGTCTTCCTGTGCTTTCTGAGGAAGGTGCTGGCATATAAATTCTCCATGATGGATTCCGTTTCTGTACCATCACATCTTTAGTCTAAAAATGCCCACACTGCCTCTGAAGACACTTTGCCTTTCTCAGGTACAGGTTCAACATTCCTGATCTGAAACCCCACCTAATCTTAAGCAGATACCCTAAAAATATTGTACAAAATGACTTTCAGGCTCTGTATGAGGTGCATGTGAAACATAAATGAATTTGTGTTTAGCATCATCCAAGTTGAAAAAAAAGAAACACTTCAGGGCCCAAGTATTTCAGATAAGTGATATTTAAGTTCTATGGGGGATGTATTTGTTGACTGAAGTATTTCTACTGATCATATATGTATATGTGTACATGTATATATATAACATATATATGTGTGTGTGTGTATGTATATTCCCTCTAAATAAGTGTCTTACTCAGTAGTTAAAGTGGCATTGGATATGGTGGCATTACCTGTAATCCCAGCTACCCAGAGGGGGAACAGATAATCTTAGGAGTTGAGGCCAGCCTGAGCAAAAGCCAGTGAGACCCTATCACAAAAACATGCATGGTGGTACACACCTGCAAGCCTAGCCACTTGGAGGCAGAGACAGAAAAAAGTTTAAGATTCTATTGTAGACTCTATATTTTAAAAACATTAAAAGCAAAAAGAGTGACTAAAGTGCCCAAACTCCAATACCACACACACAAAAAAAGTTAAAGTGATCATTTTGAAACTGGCTGAAACCTGTAATGTTAGCTACTTGGGAGGCAGACATCAGGTGATAGAGGTTTGAGACTCCATCTCAACCACTGGCTAGGTGTGGTGGTACACACCCATCATCCCCGTGACACAGGGAAGCACAAATAGGAAGCCTGCATCCCAGGCTTGGCCAGGCATAAAACAAGACTCTACCTTGAAAATAACCAATGCAAAAAGGGGCTAGGAGGAGCTGGGAAGGTGGCTCAGTGGTAGAGTTGCTTGCCTCGCATGCATGAGGCCCTGGGTTCAATTCCTCAGCACCACATAGGCAGAAAAAGCCCGAAGTGACGCTGTGGCTCAAGTGGTAGAGCACTAGCCTTGAGCTGAATGAAGGTGCCCAGGCCCAGAGTTCAGGCCCCACAAATGACAAAAAAAAAAAAAAAGGTGGGGGCTAGGATTATGGCTTAAGTGGTAGAACATCACACTAGAAAGCAGGAAGCTTTGAGTTCAATTTCCAGAACCACACGTGCAGACACATACACACACATGCACACACACAAAAATAATCTAGAGAATAATGTGAACTACATTAAAATCAAATTTGAGCCCGATGCCAGTGGCTCATGCCTGTAGTCCTAGCTATTCAGGAGCTGAGTTCTGAGGATTGTGCTAGCCAGGCAGATAAATTAGAGCGTTCTCTCCAATTAACCAGCAAAAAAAAAAAAAGCTGGAAATGTAAGAGCACCAGCACTGAGCAAAAAAAGCTAACAGCAGTGTTTAAAAAAAAAAAAGCTAACTCAGCAGGTGCTGAGTTCAAGTCCCAGTACTGGCACAAAAAAGAAGCTGTCAGGTGGGAAACTTTCAATCTGATAGGACCACTTCATTTGATTGTGTCATTTTCTGCAGGAGTTTGCAGAGAGAGGTTTCATGGTCACTGCTTAGATGGAGGGAGGATAAAGCAAAACTCATATTGTGTCAGCCTTTAAAAAGGAAACAGTACAACTAACCGTCTGTAGATTAGTGAAAAAGAAAGAAAAGTATAAACACAATAAAGTTAAAATGACAAACGTAAGAATCAAAACATAAAGGTGAAATAGCTTTATAATGAGGGAGGAAAAGAAAATGGCTCATGTCTAAAACTGTCTCTCAGGTTTTGTTTTTCAAGCAGAGCTGGGCACAATGGCTGAAGTCTGTAATCCTACCTACAGAAGAAGCAGAGATCAGGGCATTTTGCAGGGAGGGGAGGACGAAAGCAAGAAAAAGATGCCATGCAGTACTACTCTCTTCTAGAGATCTGGCTAAGCACAAATAGGAAGGACAATCTCAGTGCAGGGTGAGACCCTATCTTGAAAATTTCCCATGCAAAAGAGCTGTTAAAAGAGCTGTTAAGAGTATAGCATGTAGAGTAGTAGAGTTCAAACTCCAGTACCATCACAACCAAACAAAGAACCAAGAACTATCAGTGTAACAATGTCATTTACAATGTAGAAGTTACTTTCCAGAAGAAAAAGTCCAGCATTAAGTGCACCTCCCTGTGTGATTAGCATGACTGGGGGTTGGTAGATGTGACTGTTGGTTTCCATTTTATAATTTTCCCAATCTTGTGATGTTTTTAAGTGTGGCACATGATTTTTTTTTTTTTTTTGTCAGTTGTGGGGCTTGAACTCTGGGCCTGAGCTCTTCAGCTCAAGGCGAGCACTCTACCACTTGAACCACAGTACCACTTCCAGTTTTCTGGTGGTTAATTGGAGATAAGAGTCTCCTGGACTTTCCTGCCTGGGCTGGCTTTGAACTGTGATCCTCAGATCTCAGCCTCCTGGGTAGCTAGGATTACAAGCGTGAAAAGCAAAACTTTTATTTTTTTTTTAAAGAAAGAAGATGGAACCTACCGAAGATGAAGTTGTCAGGCCGGAAGAGCTGCCCAAAAGGCCCAGATCTCACACTGTCCATAGTGCCCGGCTCCAAGTCCACCAGGGCAGCCCTGGGCACGTATTTCTGAGCTAGAGGAGAAAAAAAAAAATCCAACCATTACTTCAAGGTTTCTAGAACAACCCACCAGCTAGAACTGTCTGGAAAGGGATCTGTCTTTTCAGAGAAGTACTAAGATTCACAGGTTTAAAGAATCTTAACTTTGGGGTGAGAAATCAGCCAGGAAGAGGTGGGATACAAACTCAGGTCTTCTGACTACTTCCTGAGTACTATATTTTCCAGTTCTCTCTTCGTTGGGCAGCATTTCCTTTTTAGCTGTGTGGATATAAACTGAGTTTGTTGTCACAGATTCATGTCACATGCCACATCAAGTTGGCATGATGCTGTGACGTTCTGCCTTTTGGAACCTCCCTTATGCACACACACACACACACACACACACACACACACACACACACATGTGCGCGCACACACACACACACACATGCATGGACCCCAGCTGCAGGCTGTGTATACACCTACTTCCAGATACCACCCACTGGATACCCTCTTGTACAAAATTGAGTGTTTCTAGCTGGGCTCTGGTGGCTCACACCTGTAATCCTAGCTAACCAGGAGGCTGAGATATGAAGAGTTCAGTTCAAAGTCAGCCAAGGCAGGAAAGTCCATGAGACAATCACTAATCAGCAAAAGGCTGGAAGTGGAGCTGTGGTTCAAATGGTACAGTGCCAGCTTTGAGGAGAAAAAAAGCTACGGGACAGAACCCAGGATCTGAGTTCAAGCCCCAGCAGTGGCACTCATACAAAGAAGTGTTTCTGTGTAGTATTTCATGACAGCTGGGCAAGCAGCTGCCCCAGGGAGGATGGGGTAAATAGGATCCCACATAGGAAGTGTAGCCCACACCCCCCCATGAGGAAAGGGTGTGGGTAGACTCTGTGAAGCCACAGGAAGTGCAGTATGCACTGGAATTTCCCCTGGTGCCACCTAGAAATTCCATCTGCTGTGTCCCAGTGTCTAAACCGTTGGTCATAGCTACTTAAATGAACAAAACTGTGATTTGTGTTTACCCAGGACAGTCAGCAAGTGAAGGTGAAAGGCCTGGTGAATCCAAACCCCTGTGTGACCAGTGGCTATCTCTGGGCACATGTTTCAGAGGTGGGGGCCAGGGCAGCACCTGTCATTTTCTGGGTGTTCTTCCAGTGTGTTGTTTTGCTGTCTTGTGAGGGACATGCCCCACATTTATTACAAAAATTGTTGTAGAGTGTATGCAGTCACTGTGCAAAGGGGTTGGGGAAAGACAGACAGGCAGATGGGACAGACAGAGTGATGCTATCTCAAGTGTGGATACAAAGCACAAAATTTAACTAAACTCCTTTACATTACCCAGGGCCACCTGGACTTTTAGCATTATTTCCACACAGCTGAGTGTCAGGTCTTTTTAGGTGTCAGCAAAGCACCAGGAAAAGTCATTTACCAGAATGCTCTTGGAAATATTAGCTAGGAATCCCCAAGAAGAGAGACAGATCTCAACTAGGAGGAAAGAAGATCATTGTTTGTCTTAAGGAGCCTGCTACAGATTCCATTCTGTGGTTTCGCTCCATTCTTTTAAAAAATGAACAAGAAAAAAAAAAGGCAGCCACCACCCAGTAACAGCATTTCTCAACCCCGCTGGGGTGTGGGGTGAAGAGCTCAGACCCTCGGGATAGGCTGCTTCCCGAAGTTTGAATTCAACCGAAGTCCATTTCCCGCCCCGGGGGGAGCGAGGGAGTGGCCGGCACCGGGCTCCAACCCAGGACGACTTTTCTCCCAGCGAATCGCCCAGAGCTCGGGGTCCGGAGCGTCCCCTACTTGCCCGGCTTTGGGCCAGGGTCCGGGAATTCCAGGGGGGGGGTCCTGGCGGAAGGAAGGCTGGGGGCGGGGGATGTCCAGGGGGAGGCCAGATTCCCCGGGAGGACAGGCGGTGAAGGCTGGGATGTCCTCAGGGGTCCGGACTCGGTGTGCTGGGGGCAGGCGTGGGAGGACGAGGGCCCGGGCGGAGTCCCTGCGGGGCACGATCGAGGTCCCGAAGGGGACAGACAGGGCCCTGGCTCTGGGTGCGGGGCTCTGGGACGGCTGGGGTGCGGGGGGTGGAGGGGTGCGGGGTCCGGGCGAGGCGCGGGCGGCGCGGGCGGGAGAGGCCGGGCAGGCCGCTACTCACAGGATGACTCATTGTAGTAGACGCTGATCCTCTCCAGCTGCAGCGCCGAGTCGCCCACGTAGCCTCCGGCGGGGTCGATGCCGTGCTCATCGCTGATCACTTCCCAGAACTAGGAAGGGCGCGGAGGACCGACCGTCGGACCCAGCCCAGGCCCCG